TGTTATTCAAACTTAAGGATTCATTCATCAAGCTACACTTGGTGTATCCTCGTGTACTTACAGACGAAAAGGGAACCGCTTTGACGTCAACGTCTTTGGAGTCAAGTCCTTCGGCTTCACCTTCAGCCACGCTGGTGACCGATAGTAGGTACACCTTTCGCAGTCGCAGCTCCTCCACCGAGGTTCGTATTTTAGTAAGTCCGCAAATTGGTCAATAAGATTCATCGCATGGACAAGCCATACGATCATGTCGTGTCGTTTTCTATGCGAAGACCTTGACGTCGATGGCCCTCGATGGTAGTTCTGTCAGCTGCTGAATCGGCCCGCATTACTATGAGCTACTGGGTGCTCTGGTCTTGTTTGAACCAATCTCGCAGAATGAAGTCATTCAAAAATTGGATGCGAGCACAAATGTCCCAGCGAGCAATCTAAAGCACCAACGGAAGCGTAATCAGTGAAATATAAAGCTAAACATTTATATGCGACGTACCTCCGATAGCTCCATACACGTCCTTAGCCACCTCATCATCCACAGGTAATCATGAAGATAATTCTCTCCGCGGAGAGAGAGGTTCTTGTCAATATCTCGCATTTCTTTAACAGGGAGTGCGGCTACAAAATCGTCTACATCTGCAGTGGATCTAAATTTCGGCTCGACTTTCTATCATGATCGATCAAAACACGACATAGCTATCGTGATCACACTGAGTACTTAATCGCCCGCGTGGGTTAACTAACACAGGATATGTCGAGTCAAATTCGACATTATCACCTGCACGGAAGTGTGATAGTATCTAAAAAACGAAGGCGTCAAGGATTAGATCGAAATAAATTTAAATTGAATTACATTTCATACCGGCTCCTCACGTTTCGCTTTGTAAATGCCTTTCCCGTTTGATGCAAGGGTCATTCCCGGGCCTGGCAGCTGTCATCATTGTGAGTGGAGTATTATTCATAATCTGCGGTCATTTCCGTACCTCAACAGCTTAACTATCAGAACGGTAATCCAGCATCTGCGTTCTACACGTCGTTTTCTGAACTGGTGGCTTGCAAGTTGTTCAAAAAGCATGCATCTTCAATTGGACCAAATATATTTGGGGTTTGTATGTGTTGATTTGAGCCTAGTGGAGCGTACGCGAGCAGCTCATCTAAACAATCGACCTTGCTCCGCGACAACGTGGAGAAAGGTTTGGAGCTGCTAGCCGACGCCATTCTCAATGTAGACCTGGTACCCGAGGAGATGGAGGGCATTAAGGCCATCATGCGCATTCAGACGGAGGATCTGATGGAGAATCCGCCCGCCATGCTGCAGGAGTTTATCCACGCTGCTGCATACGGCACCGACTCTCCACTCGGACGACCACTGCAGTGTCCGCTGGATAAGATCGATGCGCTGACTGTGGAAAAGGTCAAGAAGTTCCGTGATGAGCACTTTGTCGCCCAGAAGATGGTCCTTGCTGGCTCCGGTGTGGACCACGCTCGCCTAATCGAGTGCGCAGAGAAGCTTTTTGCGAACGTGCCTGTGGCTCCGGCAGATACGCGAATGGCGACCCCCTCGAGGCCTGAGACGCTTGAACCGGTGATCTACACGGGAGGACTGTACCCCCTCCCG